AAAGTTTGGCGTGTGTTGTAGGGTGCAAGACTTCTGGGGGCTGAGCGGCACGCCTCAATACCTTCTTGGTGTGGAATGTTGTTGTACATTCGGACAGAACTGAGAGGAGTAAAAGGCACGTGAGGCAGCTGAGGATGTGATCAAAGAGGTTAGTGCGGATGGGACAATTTTCACCGATGGATCGGCTGTCGCAGGATGCCGCGAAGGTGGAGCATCAGCAGTTGTGATAATGAATGATGAACCACCACGAACAGAAATTATTAAAACTAAAGGTGCATTCCTTACATCATCTTATGGCGAGGAATGCCAGGCAATGATGTCTGCTGCACAATGGATTGCTGACAAGTGCCACAGTAGGACCAATGTGCTGATCTTGAGTGACAGTCAGTCCCTCTGCAAGGGGCTGCTGGGCAACAGCTCGGACATGAATGATTTGCGCCGAAAGTTCAGTGAAGCCAGAGCCACAATAATAATCCAGTGGATTCCAAGCCATGTTGGAATAGAAGGAAATGAGGCAGCAGACCAAGCTGCTAATGAAGCCGGAGAGATATATATTGAAGGAAACAGACGACCAACAACATACAGAGGAGTCTTTCCAATGATCAAGAGGGAAATCAAAGACCCACCATGTAGAACTAAGTACCAGCACCTGGAAGATGTGTAGTCTGGGTACTCCAATAAGCGGGAACAAAAGTCTATCACATGTCGCTGGGACCAGGTTGAGCTAGCGAGACTGCAGTCGGACCATCATTGGAGTTTAAGATGGTATAAGAACTTTGTAAATGAAGAGCTCAGCCCATGTTGCCAAAGATGCGGCCATGAAAAGAAAGATGTCAAACATTTGTTTGAATGTCCAGGAACAATGGCAATTCGAATGGGGTTATTTGGACGAGTGGAGGTGCCGCTAAGCACATTGACAATGGAGCCGAAAAAGAGCCTCACTCTCGCTCGAAGATTTCTTCGTGGAGTCCGTCAGGCCCGTTAAGGAAACCAAAAAAAATCATCATCATCATCATCATCATCATCATCATCATCATCATCATCATCATCATTGAAGAAAAAATTGAGGAGAGACGGAGGGTCTGTCTTAATCTTAACGTTTGGCGTCGAAAAGTTCCCAATGAATGACCGAGTATAAAACTAGAGGGAGTGTTGTACAATGTACAAGGAGAAGGATCTAAGACAAAGGATGTCTTGTAATAAATTATCAGGCGGACCGGACTTGGTTCAGCGTGAGCCAAGTCAAGAGGTTGACTATTAAGAAATCAGTGCATGTGTGTCGCATTATCATTATGAACATAATACGGGGTGCTCTAGATGAGATGAGTTCCCTTCGCTGACCCTGGGGGTGGGGGGTGTAATTGCATACGTGGAATAGGCAAAGAAAATGTTTGAGGCAACTTTGCTAGGTCATGAATAAGAAACGAAAAAATAGATAGATAGGTAGATAGATAGATAGATAGATAGATAGATAGATAGATAGATAGATAGATAGATAGATAGATAGATAGATAGATAGATAGAGAAGAGCGAGAGAGAGAGAGAGAGAGAGAGAGAGAGAGAGAGAGAGAGAGAGAGAGAGAGAGGGGGGGGGTAAACCAAAAGATAATCATGGACCTCCTTTATAAATGTCAAATAAACATATTGTCAGTATCACTAGATCATAAAACAGACGTCGTGACAGTATTATTAGAATCTAAAATAGACGTCATGGTAGTATCATTAGAATTAAATGAATATAAAATAGATGTGGTGGCAGTATCATTAGATCATAAAATAGATGTTGTGGCAGCATCATTACATCATGAAATTGACGTCGTGGTAGTATCATTAGATCATTAAATAGACGTGGTGGCAGTATCATTAGATCATAAAATAGACGTTCCAGGGTCATTAGAAATGATAGAATATTATTATAGACGTCTTGACAGTAGCGTTAGATTATAAAACAGGCGTCGTGGCAGTATCATTAAATCATAAAATGGACGTCTGGGCAGTATCATTAGATCATAAAATAGACGTCTTGGCAGTATCATTAAATCATAAAATAGACACCGAGGCAGTATCATTAGATCATATTCCGGGAATAAACTAGCGAATAACCTAATGCTTCACGTTGTTGTTCCAGCTGAAGGACTCCTGCAAAGACATCAGCCAATCGCTGCAGCAGCTCGGTGTCACGAAAGCTATGGTCACCAAGTCCGAGACAGTGGCAGCAAGGACCAACCCTTATGTAAGACCTCTACTAAGCTTGGCGTGTTTGTTTGGGGGGGGGGGTGGGTGGTTTTAATGGGGGGCGGGGGGGGGGGGTTCATCGTAAATCATAGCGAAATATAACGCATTGCAACTTTTGAAGTTAAGGGAAAAAAGGTGTCTATTGAATTATGTTTGACCACCATGTCACCGACATGTTGATGATAAAACTATGTGTGTACTATTATGGGTGAAGGAAAGTAAATTTCATGCACACAAAGAAAAACGTGATCGGGCTTAGCAAAGTACACAAACAGCTTTTTACTTTGAACAGTACAAAGAGAGAGGGATACAACGTCATAGAAAACAGAGGGAAATACTCGATTTGAAAGATAAAAGCTCATTCTCGCTCGGGAATTGATCTTATTTGGGAATGGGATCATAATTTTGACTTTGCAACGTACTATTGTTTTGAAACTTTAAAAAACCACCGTCAGAAGCTGCTAGCAGTTAAAAGATTTAACTACAAGTAAAGGAGGGGAGATGAGATGCAACAATGATATGACAAAACACATATTCTGACTTTTTATGAAATCGACCTAACGCTTTGTTAAGAGTCATAGATCTATATATCTTTCAAAGACACATTTTTCTAGATTAGTGCTCACTTTTCCATAATTTCTAAATTGCAATGTGGTAGGCTATGTTTCATTACTATTCACAATGACACTCCACCTCCTCCTCAACACACACACACCCACCCCCACACACACACACACACACACACACACACACACACACACACACACACACAC